AGGAGAGCAGGGGGGAACTGCCTCTTTGCTGGTCATTTTTTTGTATATTTACTCATACTTGGGAATTTAGTTCTGAACCTCTCTGATGGCTGTCCAACCCTTTGGTAATCCTTTTTTCCATGCCTTGGGAAAATAATCGGATTAGAAGAACAAGAGAAAAACATGTATTTTTGTAGGAAAACTCTGTGCGATGTTTCATAACGTCTGGCTTGTTCATGTTCAACTGGTGCCCTGGGTATCTGGAGATGTTGTATTCCCCACCTCTGTAAGACTGGGGCAGACTGAACCTGTAGCCTGTGGTCTTTGTGAGTCCCTTCTGATGCCTGCAGTCCTGACATTTCCAAGGAGATAGATAGCTTCCAAAAAATTACAGGGGTAGGAGAGACCCAGGCTGTGTGTGATGCATGACTGATGTTGGAGAAATTGATAATTCTGGCTCTATTCACATTTATGTATAGTGAATATAACTGCATCTTACAAAGATGACTGCATTTGATGAGGAAGTAAAGGCTTAAAGGATAAATAATTTTCTATAACTTCCAGAAAACTGGCAGCTGAGGAAAGAAGAGAAATGAAAATAAATGCTCCTTTTGAGAGAGCAAAATCTGTTGTAGCTGACTGACTTGTCAGTCCATGCAAACACTGGCGAGCGATCAGCCTTTTGCCCGGCGAGTAAAAAGGGACGTGGGAGAGTAGTGCAAGTGTTTTGTGACAAGAGCACACACATAAAAAAAGCAAAGCAGCTAGGCACGTGGGAGTGGCAGCTGCCTGACAGAGATGTTGGAGTAAAATATGCTCTGTCCATGCTGCTGCTCGGCGTGAGGCTTGCCTTGTCCAAATCTAGGAGGGGTGGGGAATCCATGTATAGGAACATTGATGTGAAATATGGCATTGCACACAAGCGGCTGAAGTTGTAACCTTCTTCAGGAGGGAGGTCACACCATGGGATAGGACCGTGCTTCTGCTTGAAGACCAGCACAGGCAAATCCAGGAGGCTAGAACTATGTTAACCGTGAGAAATCAGCATCTCACAGTCATGGCAAACTTTGGTCAGAGTGATTATATCCATCCAGCATTTATCAATTGATTGAGTCCAGTCCATTGATGGCAGTGTCCTGAATCACACCTCATTGCTTGTGTTGCTATGTTCTCCTTGAGGTAACTTGAAATCTTAATGTTTATTTTGTTAGTGAAATCCCCCTACTCTAGCTCCTCTGTTTCCATTGCCAGTTCCTGAATTTCTCTGATAGGGTAGCTAAAGCTGCACAAGTCTTTTCCAGGTTGAAAGCTACTGCAATTCATCCTCAATAAAAACTAGTTCAGACTGGCCAAATGATTTGTTAATGTTCCTAGTTACTAATTTTATCATAAAGATGACAAGGTACAGAAGCGCTGGAATCATTGCTCTGCGTAGGAAGCATTGCCCCATGTTTGTAAGTAGAATAAATTTAGTTCCTTTTCAAAAGCAGCGATGGAAGATATTCAGTACTGAAATCACTCTAGATAAAATCTTTTTGGGGTGTATATGCTTTTTAGTAAATTAAGACCATTTTTGAACTTGCACCAAAACTGTGTAAAACTTGTCCTTCATTGTTGATTATGAGGCCTTTGGAGCTCCTTCTTAAAACAGACAAGCAAAAGAGAAACCAGCAAGCTAAAATCATAGAGAAGGGGGGTGTGTGCCATAATACTACAGACTCTTATTCAGGAATGTTGTTTTTTTGTATTTTTGCTGAAACGAAGATATCAGGTTTGGGGTGAATAGGCTACAAAAGTCAAATGTCCAAACCTCTGTTACAGCTTAACTTTTGTAGAATATAAAAATATTGGCCATTTTGTCGACTGGACTACTTTCAGCTTTTTGTTAGCTTCATCAAAATGGTGTCATAGCATACACTGCTGAGTTTGCACCTCTGTGGGAGCTGAAACTAAGCAAAGCATTTGCTTTTTTTAAACTGAATGTCTGAACTGTGATAGTTATGTAAAACCCTTCCTTTATATATCTTCACAGAAGCTGGTCTAATATCTGGCTCCCCCTTGCCTGTAATTAATAAGAAGGACAGGAATGAGGAAACTTTGATCTAGAAGGGAGGATGATGGAGGTGAATGCTATCTCACCATTTGCTGCCTGCTTTGGTTCTTTTCTTCAGCTCTATAGATTAGTAATCTGGACTTCTTCCAACACTTACGTGAAGGACAGGCAGTTCTTGAAGGGTTGGATGATGCTGGAAAAAAGAAAGATCAAATCAGTGGTTTAACAAATTGGAGTGTAGCAAGTCTTAATAAAGATCCCTAGTTTTAAGCAACTGTAGGACATTTTCTTCTGGTTGTGACTGTGAAAAATGGACTACCTATGACCTACCGATGGTTTTCTGCAGGATGGCAGCAAAGCAAAATGCTATGAGGAGGGGAAACTCTGATTAAACAGAAAGGGAAATACAATGGAACAATGAATGATGATGAAAAATCTGTCTTTCCCTCTTCTCCTGCCACTCTCCCGCCACTCTCCCAAAAACACATATATAAAATGAACTAACCAGCTATTATCCTGAGTCACTCTATCCTTTATGAAATGGTATGGTGGAATTTCCATTAGCTGATACTTCCTACTATACAAAATTCATCAGACTTTGTCCAGAAATGCCTGTTCACCAGCTCCATGGCTGTTTGGGGGATGCTGTGGTGGCTCTGGCTGTCTGAGTGTGCTATGACTTCCCTAATAGGACCTGTGCCTAATGTCATGTGGTTCCATCAGATCTCCCTCTGGGATCTTCTGGACTTGTATTTGTGCCTCAAGAAGTCATCTTAAAGGATCTCTCTGCTCTATCCTTGCTGATGACCATCCTCTTTGGGATTAGAGGTGTG